GGATCACAGCTTCACCTGCAGCTCTGAGCAGCTTCCAGCACTTGTCAGACGCTTCTGCTCTTCCACCCTGCTCAGCCCTCGGACCAAGAGGGAATGTTTTCCCTTTTCTGAACAGATTTGGGGAGGAATGTGCCAAAGAACTGCACCACAGTGATGCTGAGGGGGGAAGTGCTGACTATATTTATCCTCACAGAATTTGCAAATCAGAGCACAAATCCACTTGTGCTTTTTCTTTTAATTGAAAGCCATGCAACAAAAATACAGCTTGATGGAAGAACTGGATTTTAGCACTTGCTAACAAATTTGCTATACCTGACTTTGCTACCTAGCTGGATGTACTCATGAAAGGATAAAATAAAGCCAAAGCACTTTCTATTAACTGCTGCTCCCTGTACCACCAGGATGATTTATACAATCAGTGTGGGGCACACCTTGGTCAACAGGAACAGTGCTGCCCTGACAGTCTGTGCAGGTTTGTTGCTTTCAGCCTGAGTGGAAGGGAACAAGGATGCAGGAAGGGTTCTCAGCCCTGCATGGCACTGCCAAGAGAGACACAGGCACAGCCCTGCCCTCTCCTCGCAGCGTTACATCAGCAGAGCTGCTCCCCAGGGAGATGGAAGCAGCTCTTCCAGAACAGTTACCCTGAAATGATGCCAAAACTTGGCTAAAAACATAAGCAAACATGAAGGAAGTTATTACTGAATAGGCAGAGGAAGCAGGGGAGAGAAGGTATTTCTTCAGGACCAAAGGCTACAGGGAAAGTTCCTGCCACTGCAAGGACCTGCCCCAAAAGGGACGTCCCTGCCCTAAACAGAACCACCTGCTGCTTCTATTTCCTGAGCACTGGAGATAATCCAAGCCCCAGCACAAACCAGCAGCCACCCACCTTGAGACTCCTTTTGGTTTCACTCTGAGCATTTTCATGACAATAAGCAAGCACTGAATGAGCTGCCTGAGCCCTTGAGGAGCAACCACAGGAACTCCAGAGCTACACTGAGCCCCCAGGTACCTGAACTGTTTGATTCACAGCTGAGACACTGGGGAGCAGCTCTCCATGACAAATTGTGTGACTGCTGTTGCCATAGCAAAGTACTACGTTGGGATTCACCTCTCAGAGATACCACAAAAGATCAGGATAATCTTGGTCTTGGGAATACTGTGGGAATGTGCAGGAAATCAATGCCTTAAAACATCAAATTAATCATACAGGACACAGTTTGTGGTGTAGGGGAACTTGCAACTGCTTCTACAGGGCTGTTTTTAAAGGGTCAATGCTGATATCAGGCAAGAATGTTTACAACAGAGAACATTAGAGAGGCAAATCTGAATACAGTTGTTACCCACACTGGCTAGGGATGAGCTGGACCTGTCCACCAGAGATGGTCAATCCTTCCTCAGAGCCCCCTCCATATGGCCAGTAAACATCAAACCTTCCTCCTGCTCTCTCCAAATCCTCCCTGCAGAGCTGCCCACCCTCCCCAGGCCCTGCTATGACCCAGGAAGCAGCAGGACAACCTACTCAGTTTCCCCTGGTTTCAATAAATGAGATTAAACTACTGGTTTCAGTCTTGCAGATATACCTCTAGAGTACTATTGTTTCATATTAAACACAAAAGTCCAAAAGAAAAAAAAAATCCAGAAGTTTTCAGCACAATTATTTTTTTCAAACAAGACTTGTCAAAAAAATTGACAGGGAAAAGGCAAAGAGCTTATAAAAATATTTTCAAGTGTACGAATCAAATTATCCCACTTCTGCACTTCAGTCTCCTGGCTTTTCACAATACTACTTTAACTTAATGGGAAATACTCATTCCAAGAGAAATCATTAGAGTGTGGTTGAATTCAGATTTCCCTCAGCCTCTCATTCCCCTCCTGACTTATGTAACTCCTAATTTATTCACAATCCTTGGGCTCATTTAGCACAGGACTTCACACGAAGGTCAGGCAATGCTTTTAACTGATCTTTTGCTAGTTTCATTTCTCCAGGAGACCACAAAATTCTCGATTATTAACTACAGGCATTCCCCCAAAGATAAAACAGACTACAATCACCATTTTCTCACTTGTCAGAGCACAACCATCCCATATCTCTATGGAAAAGTGGCTCCCTAAGCCATATTTTCCAAATTAAAAAAGATCCCTGTCAACTGGCAACCCCCTCTCCTGCTTTTTCATATTCACTGGCTGTTAGCAAGCTGAAGCACCATTTCCAAATATAACACAAGTTATTTGTGGGGAAAAAAATGATGAAAAACATCAGGGAAAGAGATGAGCTGAAGGATGACTCTGCTGGATTCCTTACGAGCATCCCTGGAGCAGGACTCCAGCACTGTCCCTGCCTGATGCCCACTCAGCACACAGCCCAAATTCAGTGAAAGATGCAGATGTTTCAGCCAGAACACAGCTGGGGACAGCCACATCACTCAGGGCATGGGCTCTGTGCTTCCCTACCCAAGGGCTCAGCTTTTCTCAGTAACAAGATTTACACCACAAGGCAGCTGCCCCAGGGGGTAAAACACCTCCCCCTGTGGAATTTTCCTGAGAATGAACCACGGTGCATCACACGGGCAGATTTTTACCACCAGCAACTGGCAAGGGTAGATTTTAGACTGCTGCAGGTTCCACCCAGAGACAGATCTCTCACCACTGGACTCCATCCCCCAGCGGGTGGCCAGAATGAAGGAACCACCACAGGGTGAAGTCCTGCAGTGTGAGGTTCTTGCTGAACAGCACCACAACACTACAAGAAAGAAACATCTGCCAGGCAGAAATGTAACACAGCATCACTTTGGGATTCAAGAGAACTAAAGAGGGAGCCCAAACTCACATGAAGATCTAGAATTAAAAGCAACATCACAAAACTCAGCACACTGAACTCATCCACTTCCTTTTAAGCTGAAGTGCACAGAAAGTAGCTAAATGCAGTATCAATTCCATACATACAACCCAAAATTTTTGAAATTTTGATGTGAGGACCTTCTGCAGGAGGTCAGAACCACACCCACAGCTCAAGGCTGCTTGAGGGGCTCTGTTTTTGCTGCACCTCCTCACCACAGGCTGTGTAAGATTTTAGCTCAAGCAGTGTCAAGCAGGAAGAATTCAACAGGAACACACCTACATCTCTTTAGAAACCTCTCCTGGTCTTTCCTGAACAAGGGAGTGTGGAAGATGGGAAGAACTTCTGTTCTGCTCCTCCCTTCTCACTGCACATTAAATGACTTTACTCTTCAAACTCTTAGAATAAGATTAAAATTGGATGCAAATGTTTCCTTCCTGACATTTTATATTTGGATTTTTGGGCCAATCTAAGATTCATGTAGAAAGGTCACTGGATAATGAATTAAACACTCCCAACACAATCATCACCAATGCCACAGGCACAGGCTCTGGCTGCTGAGAACTTGGAGGAGAAAAGCTGGAGCAGCAGCAGCCTCCCTTCCACACCCTCTGCCTGCCCAGATCTATGGAGAAGTTGGCTGGCAGGTGGACAAGGCACTTCTGCCTCCCAAAAGGGCTGAAACTCCTGCACACGCTCCAAAGCCTATGTCAGGAAGGTTTCAGTACAGAACTGGGTTACATTGGTGTGTTATTTTCACTCCTGTGTTCCTGTGACCAAGCAGGAGGCACAGGAAAGCCCTCAGAGCCCACACCCACGATTTGCTCCCAACCAGCAGAGCTCCAATGATGTGTGAGAGATCTGGAACAGCTCCAGCAGAGTCAGAGGCACAGGGGGAGCAACTAAATCTGGACAAGACTCAAAGTGCAAATTCCTGCTTGGCCCATGGGACACGGTGACACCACCACCCCCTGCCCCGACTCCAGACCTAGCTCCACAGCCCATGCTCACTCCCTGCAGCACCCTGGGCCCTTGGGCTGTGCTTTGGGATCCACCCAGGGCTGGGACAAGGCTCTTCCTTCTTTCAAGTCTCTGCTGTTTTCACACTGGTGACACACAGAGCAATACAGGGCACCCCAAAGAGAGAACACTGAGTTCCACCCTGTGATGCACATCCCGTGTCCCAAAGGAAAGGCCCAGAGGTAACAGCTACAACCCCAGCTGAGATCTGGCCCCAGCAGGGACATGAGGGCACTGGAGAGTGCCCTGCATCAACCACAGAACTCCACTGAAATCACACAGAGGAATCCAGAATCATTAACCTGCAAGGCAGTGCAGCCTGAGAGGTTAGAGAGCCTTAGTCCAGGGATTAATAAGCATTCCCAGAGTCTGGAGAATTCATTACCTCTGCACAATCCTCCACAGCACAGACACCCCCATGTCTAAGGGGCTCACTCATGGAACATGGATTACAAGCTCCCAGGTCTTCAGACTATGGGCACAGAAACATGAGTGAGTTACTGAGGGGTCAGGGCACACCTGAGCCTCAAATGCTTCCACAGGTTTCTACAGAAATGGGCTTCAGTGTCACAGGAAGAATTCAGGCTCAAGACAGCAAGGTCTGGTGTGTGCTGGGCCAACCAGCACTTTGGTGTGCCAGTGAGATTTGCTAATCCCTGATAAACTGCTGGGAACAGGAATAAGTCCAACCTGTGACAGTCCCGTGGAGAAACCAGGAGTGAGCCTCTCCCATCCAGAGAACCTCTGCCACCACTTCCCATCTCCAGTGGGCCCTTTCCTGGCCTTCTAATGGCTTCTGACCCCGGTGAGCACTGACAGGTCATGGGAACTACCTCCAATCTTTAATTCTTCAACACCAAAACACCAGCACAGCTGGAAGCTGCACCACTCCCTGTCAGTGTGGAAAGTGAATCCTCCTTCCTCCACAGACTCTCACACATCCACCACACACAGCTCTAACCTGTACCAACAAGGGAGGCTGCAGCTTCCACTTGCAAACTGCCAAAAACGAAACTCAACAGTGCAATTGTTTGGATATATTAATGATGGAAAGAAAATCTAATCTAGGAACAAAAAGCAGAAATAATTTTGTTAAAGACCGAGGCTGGAGTTGAAGGTTTCAGACACAAGGGACTGGACTTACCCTGCAGTGACTTTCCCAATCCCTGGCCCAGCTTCCACCCATGTTTCTGGAGTAAGCGATGTCCAATATTATCCTGACAGACAGAACAGAGAAAACAAACCAAAAATATTCCAATAATATATTCTTCCCTTCCCGCTGACATTTAAACATGTGATGAGCAAGAGATTTTTCTACATATATATGCATGCAAAAAATGCTACTGAAAAGGCAATATATGCCCAATAAAGGGAAAGACAAATGTCAAAAATTGCTGGCTAGAATTTTTCCAGGGGGATGGGTATTGGGGACGGTCACTTTCTGATGGTGTGCTGGGCAACTTTTGTGCATCACGTTTAAAAGAAATAAAAAATAATAAAACTAAAAAGCAATGTGGAAGAAAATAAAGTGTACCAATAAAAATTGACAGTAAAAGGCATAAAATCAAGCTATTTATACAATCATATCCATCACCTAGACAGCACCACTTAAGATTTTTTTGGTAAAGAAAATCTACAATGTGTTTAGTCATTTTGTTTGTGTGTCAGGCTTTTATAATACTGAGTAAGTTGTAAGTGCAAGACTGCCCCACCACTAGAAACCAAAACACAATCAGAGCAAAATCCAGGCTAGACTTGATTGGGTTTTTTTTTATATATGTATATATATATATAAACTAGCATGCAGCCAATATTAAACTGAAAAAACAGTGAGGTTAGTAAAACAAAAAAAAAATCAATTAAATAAAATGAGCTCAAGCACAGACTGGGTGATGCATTTCACATGTAAACTAACAAAAATACTAAGATGTTAGAATGAAACAGGCCTAGCAATAAGTTAACAGCAAGGAACCATTAGTGCATGTAGGGGAAACAATAAGCATAATGTCTCATCTTCCTGAAAAAAAAAAAAGCTATTTTGGAATAACTGGAAAAGTACTGATGCAGCAATTAAGTGTCAGCTTTGGCAGTGGGGCTGAGCAGGGCTCAGTGTGGAAATTGTTGTGTTTTATGCAAGGTTTCTGCCCCCAGACAAAGAGCAGAGCACTCGAACCACCTCAGTGACCAGTTTACCCAGTTACAGGCAGTGACCAGCTCCTCAGAGAAGGACTCTTGGCTGGGACCATGCTCACCTTCCAACCACAAAAAATAAAAATAAAAATCAGATATGAACTTGCTGATTATTAATTCTCATCAGGCAAATCACAACCCAAGTATCACAGAAACATCCTGAATTATAACAGGATGTGACTCCAGAATACTGAGTGGTACATGAAATCCAAAAAATAATTCATCTATATGCTGCAGGTTTCTTTAATTAAATAATCATCATCAACAGAAACCAGAGTAGGTTTTGTCACTCCACAGTGAAGAAAATGACCACAAGGTTTGCACAACTTTGGTGAATCAGCTTGAAAGGCACAACCTTCCCAAAGATATTGGCTGCATGGATACGTTTTTCCTCAAAAAGATGTTATCAAGTACAAATTTTGGATTTTTTTTCTGATAGCCTAGTAAAGTCACACATTTTGTATTCCTGTATTTCCCAAGGAATAATGCACATTTTTCCCACACTTCTGGCTCTGCCCCAGGGCATAATTAGGGTTACATGGAAAAAAAAAAATTAAACCAGGAGACATAAGGAAACTTCCGGGGACAAAAGGTCAAATAAAAAAAAAAATTAAACCAGGAGACATAAGGAAACTTCTGGGGACAAAAGGTCAAATAAAAAAAAAAATTAAAAAAAATTAAAAAAACCCAAAACACCAAAACCCAAAAAAACCCAAAAAAAAAAAACCAAAAAAAAACCAACCACCACTAAAGAAAACCAAACAGGGATGGATCCCCACCACAGGCACCACGGAGAAGGCTCTGTTGGGAAGACAGGAACACTTACCTGCAGGAACACCTGGGCAGGCCAATCCCAAGGGCCACAGAGGGGCTGCAGCTTGGGATATGTTTGGGATAAGGCACTAACTGCCCTACCCTGACAAAGGATCATTGAATCTAAAAGTTGGTGCTGACAAAAATGGCTGCGTTTTCCAAAAGGAAAAAAAAAAAGAAAAAACAAAAAAGAAAAACCAAAAGAATTGAAAGGACAAGGAGTACTTTGCAGTCGTGGCCAAAGGGAGATGAGACATTGTGCTGACTGTGTGTGTTATGAATGCACTAAAATAAAGACAGATGAAGCAGAACGCTATTCCAAAAGCAGTGCAAGTGGAGTGAAAGCATTTCCATACGAACCTGGCTTTAAAAACTGGGCTGTCAAAAGAACAGTTAAATGTAACACAAAGTAAGAAACTGTCCAATCACTAATGGTAGTTTTTTTCTTTTGCTTTGTTTTCAATTCACTGCTTGCAAGTAATGTATTTATTAAAGAAGAGTGAAAGCATAAAATAAATTCCACAAGTCAAGACCAGCTGGGAGATTCAAGAGCGGTGTGTTGTGACTGACAGTGAAGGGGGAAACAAATGTTAAAGGGAAAAAGAAAAATTTAGAAAGGTTATACACATTAGCACCACTTTTACAGACCCACTCAAGAGGATGGTCCTGAGTTGTTTGACATAAATTGGAATCATGCCTGAACACTGCCCTCTCCCAGTTCCCAGGTTGTTCCCCCACCAAACTTTTCCATTTGTTTGTTTATGCAGTGGAACTACTCCCTAATTTTAGATCCTACTCAACTGAAATGGAGCATCTCCTGTTGAACTGAGTAAGGAGAACAACTCTAATAATTTAAAATTAACATTTGAGTTGAGATCTGGCCATCCCTTTGCTCCTTTCTGGCCATGTTCAGCTCCTCCCTCTTTTTCCAATGGCTAACCCAGACCTCTGATGCAGGCAGACTGACAGAACTGCTCTTCAGTGCAAATCCTGCCCTAAAAATTAAATAATGGAAGGCCAAGCTCGCTTAATCCCACGTGAGAGCCTGTCTGCTCTCTAGGGAGTATCAGGGATATTGGGACCAAAATGTGACATGGGACAACAAATGTTGTAACAGCTGACAGCTTTTTTTTTAAGTGCAGATTTAAGTGAAAGTTCTGTAAAGTACAGCTACTTTCATATAGAAGAGATGGGGCTTTTCACAGCAAGCTTCCTGCCCATGTCATGAGCTGTCACTCCTTTTGAACAGACTATCCTCACACTGCAGCAGTTTTCCTGCAGAAGAGCTGCAGTGATCCACAGAAACACCACAGCCCTAGGAGGACACCCCTCATTCCTCAGTAGAGGGCATGAGTCTCCTCACTTTCTTCCTCTGCCACTTGGGAGCTCCTTGTATTACAGCCACAATAAAAATTATTGAGGCAGCCAAACTAAGTCTCCCAAAAGGTGCTTGGGTGAGCAAGGGAGCTCTCCTGGACCACGTGGGCACAGGCTGTGGGATGCTCCATGCAGGGAGAAGGGCTCAGCAGCTCTGGGTGGGACAATGCCAGCTCTGGAGCAGGGCAGCACTGATGGAGAGCTCTGCTCTAATGACAAAGCAGAACTTCTCCAAAGGTGTAGGAAATGCAAGGCCTTGGGTCTACCAGACCTTCACAGAGCTGGGAAAGCTGCTTTGGAAAAACCTCATCCAAAGTGCCTGGGCTCCAGCAGCTCTAACTGGCCTCCCAGATCCCCATCCTGCGCCCTTGCTTGCCTTCCATGCAGATCAGTGATTCCTGAGCAGGACATCCCCAGAACAAATTTCTGATAAAGGTCCTGGCCAATCAAAAAAAAATTGCTTACAATTATAAGATGGGTAGAAGTCCAAGGTTTTGATGATGCCTGTGGGATGTAACCCACATCAGCAGTTTTGCCTAGCACAGGTTTTCCATGAGATCCCCACGATCCCATCGCTCATCCCAGCTCGGGCAGGAACCATTCCTCTCTTGAGTGGATTGTAAGCTGTGCTGACTGTGTATGGAGGAATCTATAAGCAAGGATCAGATGCTACTGGGTGAACCCATGCAAACAAGAGGTTGAAAAGATTCCCAAAACAAAACCTAGAGCTCACTACAGATGACACAATGAAGACCAGAGAGAAAAGCCAAATAGTAATGCTACACCATTCAGCTTCCAGAAGCACATTATTTATAGCGCTGTCCACATATGGCTGCTGCTAAATGTCAAATCAGCAGCCTCATCAAATGACACTTTGGAACTAGTGGAGTCCACAGATCCGTACAGATTTCCAGCGGCACAGCCCGGCTGGGCCAGGCTGTGCCAGCCCCTGGTGTCCAAGCACCACCGACTGCAGCCTGGCACGGGGCTCCAGGCGCCCCGCACGGCACCGAGCAGCATTAGAGAGGGGAAAGGACGTGTTAGTCAGGACAAGGACAAACTAACAAGCTCCAGGATAAGTGGGTGATTCCCAGGCTGGCCTCCAACCTGCAGCGGTGACGGCGTGGGTCCACCCCTGACACTGCCTGCACGGGGCCAGGGCTGCTTCCTGGGGGCTCTAAGGGCTGTCTCCTACTCCATCTGCACTGCTGGGATGAGGAAAACCAGGAATTCACAGCAAAGAGACTCAATAAACAAGTAGAGATAAGGAATTAATGTGGAGAAAATCTGGATTCTATTAAAGCTGCAATAATTTGTGACTTCCCATTCAAGTACCTGAACTCAGTGAACTCATAATGCCCCAAAACAAATGCATGCAGCTTCTTGAGTTTAGAAAAAAGGGTGAAGTGCTCTGATTTTTCAAGGACACCAATGACTGCACTGACATGAACAGCCAGTGTAAGTGCAGCATCTTTCAAAGCACAACAAGAAAAAATGTTACTTGTGGGGGGGAAAAATATCAGTATTTGTAGCTCTGAAGAGTCCATTGATATGAAATACTTTCTTCAATTTAGTAATGGAAAACAGCTGGCACTTGTTCAGGCCACGTCCATCCCTAGCTCCTGACAGCTCTGTTTTCCATAAATGTACTCTGGTTAGAGTCCCATGTTTCAGAGCAGACATCTTTGGCCTAAATGAGCTGTACACAGCAGGATTTCCACAGGAACACCATCACCAGTAGGCTAATTGAGGACACGTTTCAACATTGTAATGATCTGTAGACTCCCAAACCTATTTTTCCAGCCACCTTTGAGTTGCATGCTGTAGCAGTACAGTCAGCACCTCTCAACAGATAATGCTGCAGAGATGGATGTCACATCAGTGGGGACTGTCACAGGGACATGGCACAGGAAACACTCCCCCCATCTCCAAACACCTGCAGGCTTTGGAGCACCTTCCTGTCACTAAGATGTGGGAAGCTGCAAGGAACACATTTATGAGAATATACTAAATCCACTCTTTGTTCTGAAGAATGACATTTTAACTGGCAAGCACTTTGATTTCCCACAGTCATAAACACAGGGTGGTCACCACCCAAACTGCTTCCATACCATGAAGCACAGGTTCATTCATGACTCTGAGCAGACTCCTTGGAAAAGGCCAGTTGGATTGTTAACAGAGAACTTGTTAAGGATTAAAACCCAATTCATTAATATTGAAAATACTTAGATGTGTGGCAGTCCTAAAACAACAATTTGCCTTTCCTCTTTCCCTCTCAATTTTGGTTCTGGGTGAGCAAACAGCATAAAATAGAAGGAAAGAAAAGCCAAAAGAGCAGAATGAACCCTCCTTTCCTGGTGAAACATCTTGCAGGAGAGGTACCCCACTGAATTCTGCCAAGGAAACTGTCCCTTCTGGTCATGTGTGTAATTTGCCAATTAAAAGAGCACACTGATCATTAATAGTGTGGAAGCAAAATCACCTTCACAGGTGTCAGGAAACACAACAAAGTAATTCCTGCTTCCCAGATGGGGAATTAAGGAATCAACAATGTATTTTTACAAAGACCATGTGAAACCTCAGAAATTATCAGTTTGCTTCTGACTGCAGTCTCTGATACCACCCTTGCTCAGGCCAAAACCACCCCCCATGCAGCAGCCACAGCTCTGAAATCCTGGGATGGACAGAGCACAGCTGTCCTGAGGAGTGCTGGAGTCACCATCCTCAGAAGGGTTCACAGGCCATGGAGAAGTGGCATTGGGGACATGGGTTAGGGGTGGCCTTGGCAGTGCTGTGGGATTGCCTGGACTCAATGAGCTTAGAGGGATTTTCCAACCTTAATGATTCTGTGATTCTCTTATTTCAGACAAAAGAAGAGTGGAACAAACTTGATTTTAAAGAACAAGTTGAGGTCTTAACACTTTCTCCTCACAAAACAAGCCATTCTCTTGTCCTCTTCATCCAACTGTTTCCAATTAGGTTGAACTGTATCTACCAAGGAGTTGTAAAGATTAAAAATGTCCTGACATTTGGATAGTGAGAGACAAGAATAAAATATTGAAGCCATAATTTAATTTATTTTTTCTGCTGCAGTTCAGCCTTAATCAAACTGCACACAGCATTACTCCTGATCTGCACAGTGAGCCCACATGAGCACAGTGGGCCCAGGGTATCTGCTCATGCTTTACACACTTCCATAGGCATCCTTCCCTCTGGATCACCAGAGATGTAATCTGTGACCTCTTCTACTCCTTGCTTTGGGAAAGCACTTTTGGAAATCAGGTAACCAGTCTAGTCTGTAAGCAGCATTTGAATTATTTTGAAATGCTAATTTCCAGTGTGGCCCAGAGTAGGCTACCAACATGTATTTCCCATTATATTTCCATCCAGCTTGGCATTTGAATTCAAATCCCCGTGTCCCAAGGTGAGACTGAAGTATTCAGGAGAAGAGTGAATACCAATTCCCATCTCTGCAGCATTATCTCATGCGTCATCAATTACTGCCATGCCTAAATCTAGCATCATGCCAGCACATTAAGACAGTAGGTACTATATGCAGTGTTCACTGGACCAGAAGAACAGAAATAAGAAGGGGAAAGGAAACCCTAGAGAAGAAATTAAAAAAGGCAGACCGTGCAATACAAACCAGATCATGGCTGCTTAGCTAATATGGGCCAACTGCTGCGGAAGAAAAACGTCGAACACCCCAAGTTGTGTAAATTTTTGGTAAACATCTAACACGCACACAAACACACACAACACCAACCTACACACCAACAAAAATATATAGTGGGCTTTGGCTAACACTGGCTCTTCTAAGGGCTGACTAATGTGGAGAAATTTTAACAGAACTTCAATTAATAGGCAAAAGAAACACCTGACAAGTACTTTTTAAACAAAAATCTACACTTAATCAGAACACCACTAAGTGTCCCTTGATTATTCACTACAAGTTTATTATCTTGTTTCAGATGAAACTGCAAATGAAACTTAGCTAAAGCTACATGACAAATGTGGCTCCAGTTTAAGCTGAACAAGCTGCTGTGCCTAAAACCAGCAGAAGGTGCTTCACAGAGAAAAATTAAAAGGCTCCAAAAAGATTAAAAAATTAAAACTAAATAAAACCTCATTTTTTCCCATCTTACAGCAGGAGTCTTCACACCTAACTCAAGGTAAAGCAATTTTAGAGAAAGGCTGAGGGCAGCTTCAGCTCCATGGGGAAGGACTGCTGGACTAACACTGATCCCCGTCTCCATACCGCCAGGTGTCATTCTAACACTTTAAACACAACGGTACTTTTCCAAAAATATAAACTAAAAAGGATCAAAATGTATTTCACTACACTATTCCATAAGATCCCACTTAAATTAAACTGATTCTTGAAAGAAAAGTATAAAACCTTAAAATAAATATCTATGAATAAATGTATTACTTAAAATAATTCCACGTTGAACTCAAATTTCAGGTTTTCATTTTAAGACTACTTCAAGATTAAATCCCAGGCCCACTTAAGGTCAGCATGCAGTTTACCACCAATTACCCCTCACTGCCACCAAGGAGCCCACTGCTCTCAGTTTGGGTGCATTCACATCAAGGAGCATCCGACACGGCCGAACTGCGGGAGCGCTGCTGCTCGGGGGGGCCTTACCGATTCGATGGGCTTGTCCAGAGACGCCTGCTCTATCTCCAGGTGCCCCTCTTCATACTGATCAAAGTGATTGCCCTGCAAGAGAAAACCAGCTCAGCTCCACAGCACACGCTTCCAACAGTTATTGGACAGACACGTTTGGTTAGTGTTACATTTCATACAAATTTGCTAAAAAATTAACTTATTAAATACAGGCACAATTCAGTGGATCAGCTACAAGGACAAAAAACCCTAAAAATAAGTAAATTTTATGATGATCATAAACTATTAAAGTTGGCAAAATACCAAACATTTATAATGACAATGCTTCTAGATGTTTTTCCTTAGAAAGTCTATGAAAACACTGAGCACAAGCACCAGTGCCAGCATGGAAATCACACATGACAAGGCGCAGCAGGAATGGATGTCCCCACCACCAGAAGGCTTTCCCTGCACCAGGAATTTTCTTGAGGGATACATATGGCTTCATACACCTTAAGCCAACAAAACCCCACAGTGGTACCAAAGGAAACCTGTCCCTGTGCCCAGAGTGCTGGTCCATGGTGTGGAGCAGCCCTTCCCACAAACCTGAGCAGTGCTCTGTCCATGGAAGTGATCCCCCAATAAACCACACAGCCTTATTCCCGACCTGAAGCAGCCCCCCTGCCAGCTGACCACCACCCCCCTTGCAAAAGTTGCATCTTCCCTTGTTTTTGGGTGAATTCTGAGCATGTAGGTCCCTGAGCTAGGAAGGCAATGGCAATCTTTGATCTCCAGAACAAGTGCTGGGAGTGCTGGAGGAACACAACAATGAAGGGCCATTTCAGGAAAAGCAAACACCTCCACTGCAGCTCTGCCATAATTTGAGGTTTCTAAAACCTCAAATTCCTGACATTTCAAACATGGTGAACCACTTTTGGCTGTTCAGTAGGTCCATGATGTAACACATCCACTGTCACTGGCACAGACCTGGAAAGGAAACACTCGGACTTTCCAGCTGCAAACTTGGAAGCAAAAGAAGTGAGATTCCAGCAGTTGGGATGAGGCCAAAAGCCACTGCAGGGGGTGGCTTCAGTGGGCTCTCCTACATTCCCAGGCCCCACTCAGCGTCACAGAAACTCCGGGAGGTGCCAAGCCTTGGCTGCCACCCCCCACTCCCCCCCTCAGGCCCTGCAGTACCACTGGCTGCTCTGTGCACACCAAACCCCTGGCAGGTTCTATTTGCATCCCAGCTCCACAATCCCTTGGAGCAGGAACACACAACACTGCTGCCAAGAGAAACAAGTTGTCACCCTCCTCCTTCGACCAATACCAACTTTTCCTTCTGCAAGAATTTTAATGGAAGCCAGCACCCGAAAGAGCAAACTGCAGTTGTAACAGACTGACAGTTGGGATACTACAAGCCAGGCAGCAGCCTCCAAAAATCCTCTGGAAGGAGTGTTCCTAGGCAGGAATGCAAATCTGCGAGGGAACATCTTGACTAAAGCCTGGTGCCAAGAGAAGGTGCTTTGATGCTGGTGCCCCAACTTCCAGCCCATCCATCATCTGCAGGCCCTGGTGGTAAATTCACCCTGGCCATGCTGTGCTCCCGGGCATCATCTTTCCTGTGGCCTCTCCAGAGCAAATCTGGGGTTTAATCTGCAGGCAGCAATCCACTCCCTTTCTTCTTCTTTTTTTTTTTGGACAGCCTTCAAGGAGCAAGCTGAAGGCAAACTTACTATGCACAAGCAGTCGCAGAGCTGCTTTGGAAGGATAACAAAGCTCAGAGACAGCGTGGTGTGGATGCACAGACTTTGTGTGTGAGGAGTCCAGCAGCCCACACCAAAAACTTGCCTCAGTGGCTGGGGGACACCCCAACCTCCCAAAACACAGTGTACAAAAGAACCAGAACAGTCAAAGTGCACACGCTGCCAACACTGGCAAAAACACATTGCTAAACTTCATCTATTAAAACATTAAACTCACACAATGCTCAGTTAATCAACAGCTGAAACCCTCTCAGCACAAACCCAGACACATCCCTGAGCCTCCTTTCGCCGCTGCCTGCAGGTAGCTCAGCACACACCACTGAATTACCTGGAATAGCTAAATATTCCTGCCCACTCCCCAGCTCCCCGGTGGGCTGCCTGCCAAGGCACTGAAAGCTGTTGTTACCGAGGCAAGGGTCAATCCCAGTTCCAGGGCAGCACGCCTTGCTGCTCTGAGGCTTCACAAGTCACTTCTTCGGTGCTTAAAACAACATCTCCTCCCTGAAACTATGCAAAAGGCTGAGCACTCCCTGTGCCACGGCCAGAGAATCAGAGAGCAAACAAAGCCTTGGCTCCAAGTTCCGGTGATCCCACCACCACCCACTCCATGTATTTTGGGGGTTATTTTACATATTCATATTCTTTGGGGTTTATTATGTACTTGATCTCTACTTGTCCCTGGTTCAAACAGCTGCAATACTAAAACTGGAGCTTTCCAGAGAGGCAGGTGCTGCCCTGTAAGTCCTGGGCAAAAAGGCCATGGACACAGGGAACAGGCCCCAGGGGAATGCTGCCAGCCTGCTCCTGGGTCAGGAGGGTTTTTCAGGCTGGGAAACTCGAGGCTTCAAAATAGCAAAGTGTCCAAACAGAGCCAAAATCAATACTCATCACAGACTGCTCTTTATTTATCAATATTTAGAAGAAATTATAAAGGAAAAATTCCTTTCCACCATAAAGCAGCTCATCCTGGAAAAAGGCAAGCAGACAATCCAATGGTTATCGTGAGGCTGGATTTATGGGGGTTCAGGCCAGTGATGTTTAATCAGGTAAGAGAAAAATGGTTCTGTGGCTATGGACACAACAATGCTGTTTGCCTTCATGGGGATCCCAGGCCTTTTGGAGCTGGAAGCAGCACAGTCTGTTCCTCTGCTTCTTCGTCCCTGGAACTGGCTAAGGAACAAGTTGGGGGAATTCCATCTGTTTCCCTCTTTTCCAATCCACAACCTGGTGCATTGATCCATAAAACATTTCTGTTTTGCTGTACCTTAAGACAATGAATCAGAAGAACACAAAATACTTTAACACTTAAATTCAACAATTAATTAAACCCTAAATGCTGGATCTGTTGAGAATACATTTCTAGCAAACACAAACCCCAAGCACTGACCACGTTTCAGTATGATTTTGAAGTGTCTTCTGCAGACTTGAGAGATGCTTCCCACTTCAGAGGAAACTTTATACGAAAGGAAGGATTCAACCCCTTGGATTCAACCCCATGGATACCAGGACATGAAATTACACCTGCATTAAACCCAGCACTACTCAAAACCTATTCCCAAACCTCCTTCCTGTATGACTTACAGAGAAGCAGTAAATTCCCAGTCCTGGGAGCTAATGGCAAAGCTTCCACGTGCTCCTGTGGACAAGGATTTTGGGGCTGACTGCAGCACCCTCCTCCCACTCATCCTCTGCCCCTCCATTTTACAGCTGCTTGTATCAGGGCCTCTCACTTCTGCTTTGTGAGCCAAGATGCGCTGCACTGTTCCTTTCTCACAGA